AGCGAAATAACAATATTGTTCCGTCTACGCGTTTCAAACAATCGATTTCTAAGGGAACCTTTCAAATGGATTACGGTGCCGTTCGATAAGGAACATTAGCAAATAATACAATATTTCGTTGAAGCCGAAGCACTTATGTAATGAAATTCAGAAGAGACTATGGTACGACGGCAATCTAAACAATAGATAGTTTGAGTGTTTATCCGCCGGTCTATAGCCGAGTGGTTCACACGCCAGTTTCGTGTTGCTATCACCACAGAATAATAAAAAGGTATCACTGAGGTTGATTCCCGGTTGGGCCAATGTAGAAAATTAACATTTCTATTTCTTATACACTCGTTGCTTTTGATGCTCCATATTAATAATCTTTATTGCAGACGATACAGGCAGGAAAACAACACGAAATTACACGGCATAAGAATACATAATACACAAGATCTGGCCTCATTACCAAACAGTTCCAGACAACCTGTGGAGGAGAATATTAAAAGGAAGGGGATAATATGGGGTACTGAATGCAAAGGTCAGAATGATAAGATATATCTTTACATATTAAATAAGAAAACTAGAGATATGCTGTCTGAATTAGCATAGAGAAAGGAAATAGCTTTGAACTCGATCGCCAAAAGAACTTAGTGAGCGAGTGGTTCTAACTTAGATACATAGTTTTATAAGTATATACGTATTCTTTGATAGTACTCATCTTGGAATATGAACAATGTATGTGATATTGTCTTATATTTTATTACGACTAGCATTAGATTATTTTTCGTCCTATGTGTCAAGTTACGGTAAACGTTTACTATTCTGTTAATTTAAATAATAAATATTGCAGGCGACGGTAGTATGTTAAAAGGAAAATATTTAGATGGGAACTCGAGATTCTATTCAAAACCCTAAGCCGAGGCGAAAAACGTGAGTAACATAGGTTCTGGAGTTTGTTACAAACGTAAAAATAGATTTTGGGCTACCATGGAACTGCGAGAAATGCCGGACGTAGGGAATCGTCCGATAGTATGACCTTACACTATCAGTAGAGCTACAGTCTATTATCAATTAAAGTTTTCAATCAATTATCACTCCTTACTCAGTTATTCAAATACTTAACAAAATAGAAATGTAAAACTATATCACTTGGACATTAATTTTGGGAAAGAATATTTACAAACTGTTCACCAAATTTACTTACAAGAAATCTCAAAATAAATTGATCATTACTCTTAAAATACTAAAACTATTCTTGATAAAACTATTCTATTCTATAGAAAAGTAAGTTAGACGCTCAAGTAGTGAGGTGTAAAGCTCAATTTACAAGATCCATGTCGTCTTTGTTTGATATTTAGGGGGGCGCCAAAATCATAATTATATAATACCTATTTACAGTTGAAAAAAGAACGAGCTTTACAAACCTTCATACACATTATATAGGCTATGATGAAATGGAAATGCTTCAAAATGACTAAATAATAGAAAAATATCATACTCTGCAAAATATGATATTATAAAATCCAGCATCACGGATCGTAGGGGGGGTAGAGGATGGATGCCATACAAAGTATCTGCTACGGTTAAAAAAAAATCATAAATCCAGGCCTGATTTTAATAAAAGCGCACCATCAAACTAAATACCTGTTTCGTTTTCCTGACTAACTTATTGTATGATATTAAACGTATCTTTGTCATGTTGATCTTACAACAATGCGGAAAATAATAAGCTTTTTTTTTCTCGTCCATATGGATACACATGGGATACCGTAACTCTTCATATAACGTAACAAATGGTCTTGCTCGTTAGTAGAGCACATAGCCTGAATTCGAATTTTTCTCTCTCCCGAATGGTCCTAATGACAGAATACCGGTACAAATATTGTGTGTGTAATGCCACTCTATAATTCTAAAGAAATAATTACAAGGTTGTTGTTATACGATTAATTAATCATACAATAATTGTATCGTAATCATAAGTTAAAAAATTAAATGGGTACCCGACATTTTCTATTTTCTCCGGTTATTCGTGGCGGGAAAAAGGAAATTAACAAGTATGGAAAACCCCATACAAGTTGTCGACCTGGGTTGGACAAAACTCGATCAACATTAATCGATATGAAACCTGCGTGTGCGCAATGGCGCACTTCACTATAGAAACTATAACAAACAACGGGCATTATTCGATTGCGAATAATGCCCGTTGTTTGTTATATATTTCTTGAAAAGTTTACGTAAAATCTGAATAAAGATATTTATATCAACTGAACTATATTGACATCACCACCACCACCAGCTCTTTTACGTCCCCACTGCAAGGGCTCAGGCCTTCCTTATGGATGGTTAAGGAGGATAGGCCATGACCCTCCACGATGGCCCAATGCAGATTGGAGGGTATTGACGACTGCAAATGCAGCCGGGACCAGCGGCTTAACGTGTCTTCCGAAGCACGGACTAGCTCGAGATAATAATTTTTTGGTCACCCATCCCGTGACCGACCCTTGCGAAAGTTGTTTAACGACTACGATCGCGGGCCGCGGCGCTTATCTACTACGCCACCGAGCTACTCGAAGCTATATATTGACATAAATATCTTTAATAAAAAATTCGAAGTCGAATTCGGTAAGTAAAAGTACAAATAGAAGAAGAACTCGATAGCGCGGTGGTTAGCACGTCCCGTTTGCGATACGGTTCTTAGGAACATTCACAAACGCCTATCATCGGATGAGTGACAAGAAATATATTATCTTGAGCTCCTCCATGCCTCGAGAGGGACGTTAAGCCGTTGGTCCCGGCTGCTGCATCTGCAGTCCAATCCGCAATCCAAACCAATCCGCATGGGCCAGATACGATTCAACATGTCTAAAGTGGAGACATTAATAAGCTAATGGTGTGAAACAGTGTCAAACGCAAGATAGTATGTGTATTATTATTTTTACTTCTTTTTTATTATATTTAAATGTGTACAGTTTTTTAATTTCGTAAAAGTGGTCCAATGTTTTAAATATTGAATCATTTATAATTTCAATATTTTCCTATTTTGTTCTTTTAGAGTGAATCTCCTCAATAGTCAGGTTTATTTTTAAAACAAACTACTTTATCACATTATCCTTATCAACTCTGGTATAATATCACTGCTATGGGCCAGCACTGCGTTTAGCCAGTATATAGATTTTTGTAGATAAGAATACAGTATCACAGATACTATAACCCAATGCGATGGACAGACCAAATTGCGCGCTAATATAGATTCTAGCCTGAACAAAGTCATCCACGCAGCAGAAGATCGGGGAAGACGGCGTAACCAGTAGCCTAATTTTCTAATTTTAAAAACTATCGCAAGTCATTTCAAAGATATAGTGACTGTGATGGTGATTTTTGGGATCGACTTTCACCAGTGCTTTGAAACAGCGTATTCTGAATAAATTATTTTGATTTGATTTAAGAAACGTTTATAGTCACAATTACTTTTGGAACAAATAATGATTTCAATGGTCAAGAGACAATGATAAAAAATATGTAACTTAAACTTAAATTACCGATGTTGTTCATTCACAATCATTAAAAAAACGTCATGATCGCAATCGTTATTACATATCAAATAGTTGCACCGTGAAGTTCGTGAATAATAATAATAATAATAATAACACTTTATTGTCACACCATTCTACAGTTAAAGTTTTGAACATGAAATTTGCAAATTAAATACAACACAATAGTGGAACAATTGGCGGTCTTATCGCTAACAATATGTTATGAATATTAAATTGCGATCGATTATATTATATTAATTTTAAAATAAGACGATCAGATAGTAGAGATCACGACAGATGTCTATTGTGCCGAACTCCGAACAATGTTGGCAAAACTAGCAGCAAGCCCCGACTCATTAATCCATCGAATCGATTGCTCCATGACAACCCTAACCTCATAGAGCACGAGAAACCGTTTTGACCCTTCAGGAACTGCAGTTAGTAACCATTCGTCATCCTCCGTATTCGCCGGACCTTGCTCCAACGGACTACCATTTTTTCGTGATTTGGACAATTACCTATGTGAGAAGAAGTTTTCTTCCCAGGAGGCAGTACAAAATTCTTTCACAGTTTGTGCAGTCTAGATTTCTATCGCAAAGGAATAAATACCTTCCTATTAGATGGCAGCAATGTATAGATAATAATGGTAACTATTTTGATTAAATAAATATGTTAAAAATTAAAAAGTAAACAATTTTGATTTTCAGTACAAATCGGAAATTTCATACTTTAACCTCTATTATTTGTCGTCGTAGACTTTTGAGGAAGAGTACACAGCCAAAGATATCTATACTATTAGACAAGCTATTCTGAACGAAAATTGTCGTCTCGCTTCCTAAGAAGACGTAAGCCAGACGACAATTCAGTCGATTAAACGATGTTTTGTGTTGACACAACACTTTAGCGAGTAATTTTCTAGTACCAAACAACTTGTCTGTACACAACACATTGAATTATACAAAATTGTCAAATTTCTCAAATAGTTATTAAGCCTCCCACTGTGACTTCAACTGTGACTCAGTCTTTATATTTAGATGCGGATCTGCTTACAGTAAGAAAACTTTAGATATTACAAATCGTGTTAAAGAAACCTAAATATGTAGAATACTGTAATAATAAAGTAACTGAAAGGAGGAAGGATATAGTTGCTACTACAACACATGTTCACACTAGATTTGCGCAATATCAGTTCATGAATTTATCCTCATACATTTACTACAAAATAAATAAAACCCTAAAAATATATCCCTTGACATTAAAGAAATGTAAAAAAGAAATTTCGGACTATCAGGTCAGCACACGTTTGTAAGCTAGCGTTCCAACAAAAAATACCGTAATAGTAACTTTTGTTTCCAAAATCAAATTGTGTTCGAAATTTGGTTCACAGCTGTTGTCTAAACGTTTGGCAACAAGCAAGGTCACCTCAATTGGAACGTGTGGATCACACTTAATAATCTAGATTCTACGGTTCTACGAACTCACCTAGTGCCCGCAACAGGCTGCCACACCGCGTCTAGAGGGGCGTGGGCGGGGATCGACGAATCCCCCCCATCCCCGTTGCCTGTCTCGATTCTGCTGCCCTCCCAACCCTATAAGGAAAACAAAAGACTATCAAAAGATTAATCAATTCATACTAATCCGATTAATCTTCAGTGTGATTCCAATTCATTTATCAATATTCTGGTCAAGTAGAGAGCACATCGGTCTCTGACTAATGCCTTATCTTAGGTCTCGGCTTCAAGTTCAATTAAGAATCAAAAAAATATTTCCTATATTGTTGTGGTTGTGGTAATTAAGAAATAAGAAATTATACATATAGATTAGATATACATATAAAAGATTTCTCTAAAAAAAATTTTAAAATCGATTAACAGAAGACTTTCGTCACGAATGTATTTAAAAGTATACTTCTACCACGAAATCTTAGGAAAGTTTTAATTTTTAATTGCTTGTAAGTTTTCGAAGGCTGCTTACAACGTCAGTCATACGCACTAGGTCAAGAGCAGTCACGCTACTTTACAAAAGAGGGTGCACAGTGTGGGATTCGAACCAAAACCTACATGGACTAATTATTTATTTTATTAATAAGAAATGTTTATTTCGTTGCTGTATTTTTTTTTGTCATGATATTATTGTAATGAGACGATAAATAACACATTTCCTTTTAGAGTCTTAAGGCTTTCTCAAGTCGAAAACGTCTTGCCGTCAACCGAAGACAATCACGTACAGAAGCGGATTAACAACTCCGGCACGCGCGTCGTTGTCAAGGCAACGGTTACGCGATTAAATACTTTTTCAATCATATTCCCAGTTTGCATTGTTATTATGAGTTTTGTTTTAAATCCTACGAAAACAAATCTATTAAACATGGTTGGAAGTTATTTTCCAAAATATTAGCAAGCTGCAAGAAGCCCCATGCGGGATACTAGACGTGAGGAAGCGAATTCGTGCAACAAGGTGTATCATTTCGACAGGCACTTAGGATTCACTTCGTTTCTCAACGGTCAATGTAACCGTAAAATATGGTACTTTGTGAATATAACTTCTTTTGAAGACCGAATTAAAATTAGTTCACGTCGTACAATCTTGTTATTCCAGAGTGGATTCAAAAGACATCGACTAGTGTAGTGGGACAAACAATAAATATTAAAGTGACATCTCATCTCAAAATTTAAAAAAATCGCTATTAATTTCTCGGCTGTTGAATCACGTTAAAATAATTATATTTGTTTATCCGTCAGGTAGATTATAGAAAAATATTAATAACGTACCAAAATATGGCGCAGTACTTAAATTACGACGATACATTAAGTTAAAATGTCGTATGACGTCACGTTTTAGTACATTTTCTACAAAACTGTAACGTTATCTAAGCAATTTCTTAGTTAATTGAAGCAAAATATATATGTAGGAAATTTTTCAATTATTTGACTGATGGACCAAATAGAATCCCTAGTACCAGATATCGAGGTATTTTTTGTCTTTGTTAAGATCATTTAATTCACCAGATACCTATTGTATTTTTTTTAAATCAATAGGTAGGACCCCTGTCAGTCATAACTACGTCCCTGGCGTATTGATGACCCGTAGGAAGTAGGGTAAATCGTTAGTTTCAAATCACGACCCAAAACAGTTTACTTGTCACATCACAAAAATGTATTTACCGTTCGCGTGTAGCTAATAACTAATTCAACACGTCATGTGGTCGATTCCTTTTTTGTATGTACTAATCACACATTACATCAAATCAATATATTATATTTTATTTACTTACATAGGATAATTTTACCAACCACACTTTTATTTATTTCCTGTCGATAGGCGAAAGCGCAGATAAGAGCTGGGCTTTTAATAAAAAAGGATCGTATAACTTATCATAAGATTTTTTCTGCGAACAATTTTATGTATTACAATATTCTTGCAGCTAGTTTACTAACATTATAAAGATGAAATAGTTAATTGTTTGTTTACATTTAATAGGCTGCGAAACTATTGGACCTATTTTAAAATTCTTTCACCTAAGGGAATAATTTATAAGTTTTACTTTACGCGGGTGAAGTCGCGGTAAAAGGCTAGTAAAACATAAACATTTAATGTTTTTATAAAAATGTAATCAAATCTGCTACGGCTTAGGGATAGGAAATAGCCTCTGGTTTGCTAGTACCTGTATAAGAAAGAAATAAAAAAGAAGTATCAGTATACGAAAGAACAAAACCTGTATTGAGAAATAACACGGAACAATACAGAAATCTCTCTGCAATATTCATGATGACAATAATGTGCAGTGTTCACAAGCTTTTGACCCACTCATCGTTTTTTAATGAAACCGAAATTTTATATTTATACTAATGGGTAATCTTCAGAGGTTAAAAACCGAACCCGAATTCGAATTCATTCATGTGTCCAATTCGTGTCATTTAGTGAAGCAATTCTGTTGAGTCTTTTTTGTATAAAAATACGAAAAGAATATTGATTGACTATACGTGTCTCAGATATTCTATTCCTATGTAATTTCGAAAGTCACTTCACTTATGCCAGGAAACGTTATAACCAATTCAAGATTAAGCGGATGCGACTTTTTGAATAGAATTCGGGTCCTGAGTGAATTCGAATTCGGGTTTGGATTTTTACAGAATCGCAGGACTGATATTAAAAGTTTATCTATTATAACGCATTATAAGTTGGCCGACAAAGCAATACAAAAATAGGATGCAGTTGATCTAATTACGAACCCGAAAGGTAGCCATGGGACCTTTTTAATTAAACGAATCAACTCCATCGAACTGGGCTCGTTTAATTATCTTCTCAAGGACTTTTGTCTGAAATAATATCCAGGATCTGATCATGCAAGATAATATGCAACAAAATCTCGTTAAAAAGGTTTTTATTTATATAGTTCCAATATCCCATAAAGAATCGATATCAGATGAGTAGTTTTGTTTTTGCTTATTATAATAATGTAGGTAATAAATCATTCAATAATTCCTTAAAACCTTGTATAATCGACCTAAATAACACAATTTAAACACCAGATAAGAATTAAACCTTTTATACAAATTAATGAATCAATAAACGACGTATAATTTTGACACACAATGAAACTAAAATGGATTAAGCTCATGTGTTTATTAAGGATGTCACGGCGACGTTAAAATGATAAATCAATAGTTAGCAATATGTAGTAAACACAGCAGGCTAAATTCTGCAATCAAATTTTAACTTAATATCAATACATTAAGGTCTAAGTCGATTGGATAAATTACTCTCTTTGGATAAAGACTTCTTAAAAGTACTTTTGAATCGTCCAACATTTTTTCCCTACCGCTCGTTCAGGACGTCTTTTGGCTGATAAGAAGAACGAGCAAGAAACTCACCAGCTCTAATAGGAGTAATGACATTTACAAAAAACCATGCCATTACCAGATCAATAGCGTGGTATCGACAATATTACAAACATAGGACTGATTATGTCCTATGTGTGTAAAGAGGAGCTCGATGGCGCAATGTTTAACGCGCTCGATCTGCGATATCGTTGCTGTGCAACTTTCGCAATGACCGCAATGAGGATGTGTGATCAAAACTTTATAACCTCGAGCTGCTCCGAGCTTCGGGTGGCACGTTGGTCCTGGCTGCATCTGCAGTTGTTAACACCCACCAATCTGCACTGAGCCCGCGTGGATGGCCAAAGCCAATTCTCCTTGGTAAAATATTAAAACGATACAAAACCTTCTTTTTCTTTATAAAATATCTTGAATCTATAAAAAAGACGTATGAAAAGCATGGTTAGTAATATACATATATTCCCATAGATGTGAAATAAATAAGGTCGCATGTCACATCTATACTAATATTATAAACACGAAATATTTGAAACTAGTGAACCGATTTTAAAAATTCTTTCACTTCCGGGAAGTCTTATCATATGCGGGTGTGGTTGCTGGGAAACAGCTTGTAAAATTATAAATTTAGTCGTTTTTATAATAATTCTAAAATATAATTAATCTAATATAATCAATCGTTAATTACATTTAATTATCTAGAAGGTTAAAGTAGACAAAGTGAAGCTAATCATTGAGATCCTAATTAATTATAAACGAAAAGAATATTCTTCGATAAGATGATTCTTTTTTCATTGACCTAAATTAAAAAAGTAATTTTACCCTAGAAGAGAAATTAGGGCCATATAATAAAAATTATGTTAATATTGAAAATCCCTTGCTAAGAATCACCTAAACTAAAATCGAAACATTAATGAAAGCGCCAATATTAAGTTCCGATAGAAACACTCCAAATTTCTCATCTTCCAAACAGTAGGCACTCAAACGATATTATTTGAAATCTGCCTTAAGACCCAATGCCTAATTCTCTAATTTAAAAATCGATCACAATTCCTTTCAATTTGATATTTAAAATTATAGTCACGAACTTAAGTCTAGAACTATTTAACATGTGATAGAGATTGTGTTAGTGACGTTTTTTTAAAGATTATGAATAAAAGATATTACTAATTGAATGTTAATTGGAACTGTCTAGGGCAGTGATTCTCAACCTTTTTTCTTTTGTTGCGGCACATATTTAACGATTTCAAAATTTGGCGGCACACAAAGAAAAAGATAAAAATTATTTACTTACTACAACACACTGCATAAATAGTTTATGACAAAAATTTTTAATAAACGAAATAAACTAACATATTCTACAATAATAACTAAACGTTTATTAAGGGATTAATTACAAGCTAATAATTAAAATATTTTTAATGCGAAATTTGAGCTTGATTTTTTTTTTGATAATTTCATTTATATTTGGTCGTAAAATGACAATGCTACTCTCATATCGTCTTCTACATTCGACAATCTTGATCTTTTTTTAGTTTTAATGTTGGCTAATGCTGAAAATCCGAATTCACGCAAATAAGATGTGGAAAATTGTAATAATATGTTTAAAGCTTTTTTTGTTTACAAATTTTATAAATTGACACTACATGAAAATAAATTAATATTGAACCGAATCACATACCTTTGTCAATTTTAACGAAAGAAATGGTGCAGTAACTACTATGCAACACCTTGTGAATCCCAACTATCAC